TTATTCACCTCGGAGATGGGTATCATTTACCTGAGTAAGCAATACCTAGGGAAAATTAATTTTCCATAAACCCCACACAAATCTGAAAAAAGAACATAGGTACCTTAGTCAATGGAAACCAAAATCCTATTGACCAACTTTCCCTCCTCCCAAAATTCAAAAACTAGAACATGCCCTAATTCATATAGTTTCTTAAGTTGCGTTTGTTTAGAGTGTAAACTCATCAATGCAAAATTCCATCAATGGAGTTTGACACCAAACCATTTGAAAAATGTGAGCATTGAAAAAGTGACTATCAATGTAATACTACATCAATTTTATCGATGTAGCTTTTACATTGACAATTGATGTAAACCAAGCCTCCATCCAAATGTTGAGAAAACCGAATCGCTGATGACATTTTACATTGCATCTAAACACCACCAAAACCGAATCGATAGTAACACTTTACACCACAAACAAACACAGCCTTAAAAATAAAAGCAACATACCAAGATTTCAAACTTATCCTCAAAGTAGTCTTTTTGTGCAAGTAGTGCTTGGTCACGGGGAGTCTTCAATGGAGTATTGCCTTCTAATTGTATTACTTATCCTTTATATCAAAGTCAACAACCTTCTCTAGAACAAAGAAATGTAGCTCTGCACTTCCTGGACATTGTTTCTGGTTGAACCATTCTATAATATTTTCTTGTTGATTTATGTAGCTCTGCAACTTCTTGAATGCCATTTTCTAGTTGATCTCTCCTCCAATATAATCTTGTTGATTCATGTTTCTAATCATGCTTTTAGCTTCAAAAGCTAGAGGGGACTTGTACACATTGTACTCATGTATGTATTAGAAATCCAATCTATTATTTCATTCTCAACAATCTCGTAATACAGTTTACAAATTTTGTATTTATTTTGCTGTGATATTGTTGGGGACTTGGATGTAGGGGTGATTCGGTTAAAACCCAAAAACTAAACTAAAATTTTTTGTTTCTATTTGTTTGGTTTGGTTAATTTGGTTTTAAAGAATTTCGGTTTCGGTTTCGGTTTTGGTTTTTAGGATTAGAAATTTGATTAATCGAAAAAACCAAATTAACTAAAATTTATTATATACATAATATAATATATAATATTAATATGTAAAACATAATATATTATAATATGTATACAATACTAATATATATAATATATTAAAATATAAATAAATATACTAATATATATATATAATATATAATATGTATTAATAAAACTCGATTTTAACTAAAAACCAAACGAAAAAATTCAATTTCGATTCGATTTTATATTTTATAAATTCGGTTTTTGAAAATTCAATTTATTCAGTTTGATTTTTAACCGAATAAATAAAATGTTCACCCCTACTTGAATGGGATCCAGTGGCTAAGCGACTCATGATTTCAATTAGGAGATACATGAAAATAAAAAATGCATTTGTATTAATAGCATTAGAAAAAGGGGCCAACCATCAAAAAGCATTTGTATTGAGAACATTTATTTAAATAACAAGATCTGATTTGGCACCATCATCGTCATCTCAGTGGTTTTCGTGATCTGTATTTGCAACGTGACACTAATTGTGTAATGAGGATATTCACGTTGTGCTTGAAGATTGGAGAGTCCATTACTATTGCAAGTCCAGGCTGGAATGCCAAGTATAGGGGAGAAAAGGCATTGTTGGGCACATACATCTCTATTCTCACCTGCACAATGCAGCATCTCAGGCTTTATATTAATTTTGGCCCCAAAATTCCCGTTCTAACCAAACACAAAATCAGAATCTTAGAAGAAATGGAGACGACACAAAACCTTACTGAGGGGAAGATAAAGAAGGTTTTATTCAGACTTGAAAGCATTTTTCATTAATTTGGACCATCATTTTAATTATCGTTTTGTTGAATTTGGACCATCAATTTAGAATGAAACCTTTCTCTCTCTCCCCACACCTTGACAAACAAAGCAAGCTCCTCTTCCTTCTCCTTCAACACATTACCAAGCTCCCCTTGCTTGCCGCCTATGCTCAATAGCACTCACCATGTTATCCACATTTATTTTTTTTAACAAATGCACATCTTGAAATTTTGAAAAATAATTGAGGGTAAAGTTTGTCCAATTTAAGGGCCTCATGCAAGGAAAAGTGAATTTCAAAAGTTTGAGAATACTTTAAATAGATTTTAAAACTTTTTAATACTACTTTAGGGTTTGTTCTGTAGTGTAGATAAGAAATTAGTAGGTGTGGAATAGTACACACCACACCACAGTTCACAATTGTTTTAAACTATGGATAGACTGTGTGGACACAATGGCGTTTTATAAGCATGTCCACACCACACTTTTTTATTCCATATATCTCATATACATTTTATGAATGATCTACACAGTCAATCATAAATGTCTAATTTTTTGCATTTTATATGATAAATATATTAAAAAAAGGCATCGATAAATTAATATTAACCAATAAATATTAATTTTAATAAAACAATAGTAATATAATTAAAAATAAAAAATATTTTATTTTATTGATAAGAACATTAAAAAATTAAGAATTTAAATAAATGGAAAAAAAGTAATATTAAAAAATATTATTTTAAAATTTAAAAAATAAAAAGAAAAAAAAGTATGTAGAAAAGATGTGTTGTATCAAAATAGAGTGTGGAAATGTTGTGGACCAGCCACATCCACAAGATATATATGTGGCCGAGATTTTAGGCAGTGGACGAAGATAGTCCACAATATATTGTGGACCAATCCCATCCACAACCCTAAAACGTCGTGGCCATCCTGTGGTGTGGATTGAAACAGGCCATCCATGAGATGACCACAGTTCCAAACACCACCTAAAGTAATTATCAAATACTTTAGTAGTATTTTAAGTAATTAACCCAAATAAATATGGGTTCATCAAGGGGTGCAACTTGGGCAGACTCAACCCGAGCGCAAATTGACCCAACCCAAAATTTTACATGGGTTGGGCTTGGATATTTTAGTCCTCAAGTTGGGCTTAGGCCCAATGATAAATTTAGAATGGGTTCATTGACCATCCCAAACCGAGCCTAGGCTCAAGCCTAACCAAAGTACATTAAACTACAATGTAGATTGAGCTCCAATTGGAAAGATCAAACTTGACCTCAGGCTCTGGCTTTAGGCCCAAATTTTAAGGTTGGTCCTATATTGACGATAAACCCAACCCAACACACCCGACTTGCACCCTCACTTCACCATTCATCCTTACACCTCTTAAGAGCTGATTTTCATCGGCATCAAATCGGAATTCCCTCCGCTCCAAACACCCATTCCCAACTTACCTCTCTTTAGAGAAAATCAACTGTTTGTGTATAGTAATGAGAGTTTCATCCTGCTGTCACCAATCCCAGATAAGCTAATATCCCTTTTCTAGTTTGCTGTGTGTTCCTCATTGACTGGTGGTCGGCTTTCTTAAATATTAGGGCAACATTTTTAAACTACCCTTATGGTTTAGCTAATTAACCAACTTTACCCTTACTGTTTACATATTGTCTTAAAATACCCTTACTATTTCTAACAGTTGTCCAAAACTTCTATTGCTGTTAATTTTCCATCACACTCCGTTTATATGTGGCATTACGTGATTGATAATTTTTTTTAATTCCTAAAATACGCTTATTGAACTTTTCATCTTCCTCAACCTTGAGACAAAGAACAGAGAGATGATGATAAGAACCCCTACTCCTTTTCGGATTTGGGCAATGGACACTTGGCTTTGCCGGAATCCAAAAACCCCTCTTATCTTCTGATTCTTATGTTTCTCTCTTTGGTTTCTTATTAGTTAGTTATGATCATACCTGGTTTGGGGAGGCAAACGATAGCAGACGGGTTTCCTTGATAGAGGTTCCAACAAAGTTCTTCTGACTGTCCCGACTCTGGGTTTCCTCTGCCTCACCATTTACAATTGATTCTTCAAGCTCCATATGTATTCAGAAAATAGACTCTCAAAGCTCTCCTCATTATTAAAATGTCCCCGTTAGTTCTGATATCCGTGTTTCAAAAATCTTAAAATTTCCGTAATCCTATATCAGAGTACTATCACCAATAACTCTCGATCAAATTCAATGGGAGAAATGAAAAGAGCGGCCTAAAAAATACATTCCATCAAATCAAGCAAGATTCGAAAATCAAAAGCTCACATCCGAATTATCATATGTCAAACAAGGAGTCTCCACCATTCTGCATACTAAGATTTCAATCTTCAGCATTCTCGACTCATAAACAATAAAGTTAAGAGAATGACCAATCAGCCCAGATCTTCTGGGCTGATTGGTCATTCTCTTAACTTTATTGTTGCTGAAGATTGAAATCTTTATTATTATTATTCTGGAATTCAGAATTCTGCATCGTGTGTATCTATCTGTACTTGTCCGCAATAAAGTTTCCACCTTTCAGAAATCAGAATTCTTTGGGCATACCAAAGACACCCATTACAGCAAATCTATCCACATCAATAACCCAATTTAGTGAAGCTCATCATTTGTCGTAAATAATAATAATACTAGTAAAAATTTCAATCAACCAATAAAATTATCTCAATGTTACATGGTTTATGTTGTCTAACGATGTAAGTATGATTTTATGCTACGTACGTAGTAAAAATGGCTGGCTTTTAGAGAACGATTTCAGAATAGTATTTGTTTCATGGAGGCGAGCAGTCCACCCCAAATCGATGGGAATCATTAATCATGGGATTACGGGTGGTTTGAGTTCAGTGATCATTCATACGCTACGTACGTAATACATAATAGTTACATACGTCTCGTGACGAGTAGAGTGTGGCAATTGTGGGAGACAGTCAGACAGACGGACAGACCGCCTGTTTGATGATGATTGATGAGATAGCCTATTAGCCTCTGACTTAAGTGAAAATCGGAATCTCTTACCCTCCTAAGTCGTTTCCAGCTCATCCAAACTACTCCCTAGTCCCAAATTCCCAGCTCTCGCCTAATCACTTTATACTACTACTCTCATGGGCATAGAAACTTTAGAAAGTTATTAGAAACGAAACGAGGAGAGAGACCGGCCACCAGTACAGTCTACAGAGTCAGTGAAGAAGATATCCCTTTCTCTTTCTTTCATTTATTTTCTTCACTTGACAGATTAATTATTAAGAACCTACGGGGAAGAGACTAGCCTCTGCATAATGCATATTTCACCGCTAGCCATGACCATTCTTCTTCTTTCTCTATTTTGTTTCTCTGCACTTTTGTCACCCCTCCGAGCACTCACCCTGCCCTCCGATACCTCTGCACTCAAAGCATTCAAGAACGCAATCAAGCCAGCCACCATTTCTCCCTGGTCATGTCTCGCTTCCTGGAATTTCTCCATCGACCCTTGCTCTCTCCCTCGCCGCTCCTACTTCATCTGTGGCATCACCTGCAATTCCGACAACACCCGAGTCACAGCACTCGTCCTCGACCCTGCTGGTTACTCTGGCACTCTCTCTCCTCAACTCTCCACCCTCACCCAGTTAATCCACCTTGACATCTCCGACAATTCCTTCTACGGTCCAATTCCCTCTTCCCTCTCTTCTCTCACCAAACTACAGACCTTGAGCTTGAGTTCCAACTCATTCTCTGGCCCCTTCCCTCCCTCATTAACCCGTCTCACATCTCTCAATTCCTTAGATATCTCCCACAACGCCCTCGCGAGGACCCTCCCCCAAACCATGAGTTCCCTCTCCAACGTGAGAACCATCGATCTCAGCTTCAACAAGCTCACTGGTTCTCTACCCAAACTACCACCCAATCTAGTGGAGCTGGCTATTAGGGCCAATTTTTTATCCGGGTCTCTTTTGCAATCCTCGTTCCAAGGGTCAAGCCAGTTAGAGGTGGTCGAACTCGGTGCTAACATGTTTAGTGGAGTACTTAATAGTTGGTTTTTCTTACTGCCGTCCCTGCAACAGGTGGATCTGTCTAACAACAGTTTCACACGCCTCGAGATTTGGAAGCCTTCCAACAAGGATAGCAACCTGGTGGCCGTCGATTTGGGGTTCAATAGCCTCGAAGGGTACTTGCCCGTAAACTTTGCTAGTTTTCCTCTGCTGTCATCTCTCTCGCTTCGGCATAATAGGTTTCGTGGGCCGATCCCTCTGGAGTATGGTAAGAAGCTGTCGCTGAGAAGGTTGTTTCTCGACGGTAATTTCCTTAACGGAAAGGTGCCCGATAGGTTCTTCTCCGGTGCCGGTGGGTCTACACTGTCGGGTAGTTTTGGAGATAACTGTCTGGAAAGTTGTCCGAACTCGTCTCAGCTATGCTTGCCTTTACAGAAATCTCCTTCAATGTGCCGTCAAGCGTACGGTGGAAAACCAAGGTCTGTTAGTTCGTGGTTTTAGGAGTAAATACTTTCCTTTTTGCCTTTGCTTTTTCTTTTTCTAAATTTTAATGCTTAAATGTAAGATTATATGGTTAATAACGATATTAATGATGTTAATAGCCTGTTTTACTCATAAGTCAAAACAAAAGGGTTTGTATATAGAAAAGAAAGAGAGACGGAGTGGAATGTGTCTGAATCCTCCTAATTAAATGCAAATGTAATTGGTTAACCGTTATGCAACAAAATACAAATTTCTAGCAAGTAACAAGACAAGAAGGGTGTTTGGGTAACTGGGTCTTCAGGATTTATTTCGTGAGGGACCAGGGACCAGGGACCCTTAAAATGCCACCAGTTACTAGTGTAGAAACAAGTAGCAGTATGATTTTCTTAATTAACATGTACCGGCTATAGCTTGCCACCTGTCAAATCAGCCTGACCTGCGGGACCCACGTGCATGGATGGCGGGTGGTGTATGGTGATTGGCTTAGAAGTTAGCGACGATTCGATCTCGGATGGAATTTGCCAACTTGCCAATAGAATGGTCCTTTCCCTCCCCCCCCCTCCCACATGCCCATTTACCTTGTGGACTGGTAATCGAGCTCGAATCTACTGTCAATAAAATACGTTGCAACGTCCTTCCAACTTTATCTGACATCGTACGTCGTACATCGCATTTATAGAGGGTCCCATTTTATGGTGGGTCATCCTGCTAAAAGGATGTTGGTACGTGTTTTATTAGTAGGAGACCCCAGCTGGTATTTAGATTTTAGATTGCAAGTTGTTAATAGCCATTACTAGCCTAAAGAGAGATTAATTTAATTTAGGGTAAAAGACTTAGGGTCCGTTTGGTGTATTTTTTTTGGAGGATCTTTTGGCAGTTTTGACAGTTTTATTGAACTTTTATATGAAGATTGAGCAGCCCGAAGTTAATTTGGTAGATGTATGTCTTGGTGTGTTTTTCCGTGTAAGAATAAAATGTGAAAGACGCCCAAAATGGGTTTATCGTGTCTTTTCGACGTTTCGGCTTTTGACAACTAAATCTTCCGTGAATCAAATGAAAATAGACCGAAAATCAATCTACCCAACTTATAAACAACCAAAAGATCACATAAAAAAAACACACCAAACGAGAAATTAAACTTTCCTTCCTATTTGTCATAAATACTAAAACCTATCCTTTCTTTTTCAAAATAGACTAAGGCCTTTCCCTACTTAACTGAATTATCCAAAAGGTCTTTTTCGCCATTCCTAAATCTTCAAAATTTCAAAGCAAACCTGTCTTGTAAAAAATCGTGCTTGGCATTTATATGACTTTTCCTCATAACCAAATTATGGCAGCTCTAAACTTTATAAACACACAATTTGTATAAGATAATTCAAACTCGACAATAAAAAATGGTAATCTGATCTGTTTTTATAGTTGTGTGGAAATCGAATTCCATTGGTTACCGTAATATCCATGACTTTTCTAAGCTCTCACAGCTACAAGTAAGATTTTTAATGTCCTTGTTTCGTTATGGGAAGCCTTTTCTTTTTTCTACTACAGATGCCTTATCCATGGAGATACATAGAGAAGACAATCCAATAAAGCCAGTTACAAGGAAAAAATCTTTTCTTAAAAGTTGTTTAAGATTTAAACTTTATGCAACTACTCTGTTTTGATCAAAGTTCAATCAACCAATGCTCCCCCCCCTCCTTTTTTCCATGTTTTTCTTTTTATTCATCATCCGAATATCCCTTTTATCTCTTTCTCGTCGTCCTTCCTCTATTTCCTCTCTCCCTTGTTCTCTATTAGAACATGGAAATTGATTAAACAAGTTGGAATTTCTCGGTTACAACCTGTTCCAAATCATTCCTAGGTTACAATCTGGAATTTCTCGGTATTCACTTTTTTTTCTTGCACTAATAAATCATATTTGGTTGAATTTCCCAGCAAAAAGAGAAAAAATTGTTTACACTATATGATTTCTCATGCAAAAAGGGCAAAACTGGGTTTTTAAAAATTTTCACCCAAATATATAAGGTCACAAGTAAACGGATTACTTCAGGAGGGGAGGTCTTTGTCCCATGAATTACCCAAGAGGGGCGGCTTAAGTCCATTTTAAAAAGATAGGGGAGGTTTTAATATTTAGGTAAAAGATGAAGGGAGGTTCAAGTCTTTTACCCATTAATTTGGTAGTAGTATTGTTAAAACTAGGATCGGAATTAATGAACAACCGGTGAACCAATGAGCTAGCTTTTCCGAACTTAATTGGTTATTCTTGTTCAACGGTTTTTTTCGGCTGAATGATTGAACTGACGATTAAAACTAGTAAAACTGTAAGTCAATGAGCTTCTCGGTCAGTTTTAGTGTTTTACGTCTGAGTCAGATTGTAAGTGGTAACAAGTAACAACATTATTTGGTGGTAGTTGGTACAGAACAAAGAATAATGGTGATTTCTGATTACAATGTCTCATGTCACAACCCATTATGTGGTTCAGACTTGAAAGAGTCTTGCTGTCTTGGCCAACAATTTTGGGGATGTTTGGAACCTTATTCATTTTTCAAAAAAATGGTGCCACATCAGATCCATATAAGCATTTTAGCAAACGCTCATCTATCTCATTGTTTGGTTCAGTCGATTATTAAAAAATTGGGCATATCTCAAAAATCGGGATTCTATTGATACATGAAACATTTTATACACTGATGAACCGTTTTCCCCAACGGTTGATTGATGTGTATCCTATGTAGTGCTTACCTGTCAGCACATATATGAAAAACTGTGATAGAAATCACCATACCAAACAGCATAGTGTTACTCACTGCCTACATGATAGAAGCATTTTTTTTGTGAAAAACGGGTCTTGGAAGCACGGACATTTTTTCTTGAAAATCAGTCCCAAAAACGCCCACGCTTCCAAAGACCACGTTAATTTAGACATGCCCTCAGTAAAGCAAAATAGAGAAGAAGAAATAGTTTTGTCCAGATTTATTTTTTTGGTATTACATTTTACACCATGGTTTTCAAAATCAGACCGGACTGGATGATCAGTTCGGAAAAACTGGGGTTCCGTTCTTTCCAAAAACTAGGTTTTTCCCCTAAACCATTAATTTTGATCAACGAACCGCTGAACCAGACAATTAACTGTTCGAATGATTTTGACCATTTTCTATTTTTTTGTCAGGACAAACCGAATATCCTATTCAAGCAATCAGACCATTCGACCTGATAACCAGACCCCTGATCGGTTCGATTTTAAAAACCATATTTTACACATTATAAAGATAAAGGGAAGTGGAGGCATAGTATATGAGGTTCATTAATTAATCTTACGATAGAGAGCCTATAGGCAATAGCTATTCTTATGAAGGACGTCAATTGATCATTTTAGCTCATGAATCATGAAATTTTTTTTTTCTTTGAAAAGAATTTTCAAATTTAATACGATTAAGGTCCTGTTTAGGGAGCTGAAGATTCAGCCAAACTGGTTCAGCTGGTTTGCTGCATGCATGCACTCTGGCCAAAGCTAACAATTGTTCAAATGATTAACCGACAGTCAATTTAGATTTTTCAACAATCATAGCTTATAGACTGTGTATGTGAGGCCCACCTCAGAAAGGGACCTTTAACCCTCGTAACAGGGTGTAGATATAAAGTCCACTAAACTCAGCACAAAGGTACGTATAATCAAATGCGGAATGACCGCGAGGTTATTATGGCATCCAAATAGGCACTAACAGCACCAGTTACTTGCACATCAGGCTGGAGAGCACTTTAACTCAGGTACCCACCTTTTGCCGACACTAATTCTACCATATCGGATGCTCAACAATTCTTACCTAAAGAGGGGCTCAATATGGACGCGCCACCCACTCCAATGTAAATAATGGTCAATCTTGTTTTGGCAGTATTCAACTTCTACCACAAACTGGTGGTGATTAACACTAGTGACCAGCTTTCTAAAGCTACAAGGCCCCCACAACACATAATGGCATAGTAGATGAATGCGTATGGTTACTATTCTACTCTGAATTTTTTTTTCTCTCTCTACCAAATGGTCTGTTTGATTGCTGAAAATATTGGTTTAGGAAGGATGGGACAAGAAAGAAAGAGAATTAATTATTAATTATCTATTTCGAAATAGAATTGGAATAGTCTATTTTCATATAATCTGTTTAGTTCAGGAATATGAATGCCATTTCATATAAGGAAAGGAGAGGGAGGGAATGCCATTTCAGAAAAAATGAGAATGGAATTTCAATTCCATCCAAACAAACAGTTGAAATCGAAATGATCCATTCTAATTCGAATTCCAGACCTTTATTCTTACGAACCAAACGGGCTCTTAGATTGATGAGCTTTCACATGGGTCATTTTTATAGATCAACAAAGTAAAACAAATCAACATGGCCATGTTGCATGTAGGAGGCCAAACATGCATTGGTCATTGGAAACCATGGCAGCCATGACGGTGATGTCATCCTTTCACTCAGTTATGGAGCTTTATGAACAGAGAAATAAACCGCTATTTGGTCATCTAACCGGTTCTACCGGTTCCATTTTATTCCAAAACTGCTATTTGGCCAAAAATCATTGATTTGATAAGTGAACTGTTGACCCAGGCGGTCAAACTATCAAACCATTCGACCCAAGAACTGTTTATAGCCGTTTTTTGGGTTTCTTAAAATTTTAAAATTTTTTATTTTCTTTTGTTAGAGTGGGCCTTTCATTCAGATTAAACGATCAGACCGTTTGACCCAGGAACCAGACCCAAAACAGTTCCCCATCCTATCCGGTTTTTAAAACCTTGGATTTGTGTACATAGCAGAGAAGTGAAGAAGATAATCTTGCTCTATGACAAGTCTCGGTTTATTTTCTCTCAACTTTCCTTGGGTCGTCACACTGATTTGGTGCAACCCCACATCCCAATTTTTCAGAATTCTTTTCCGATCTATTTTCGATAATCAAACACCAAAAAAATAAATAAAATATTTAAGAAATATTCCAACTTTCTCAACTTATTTCTCAGTAACCAGACATACAATAAGGACAAGAGGGGCTGCGAGTTGCCACTGGCCAATATGCATTTGATTTAGCTGCCAACGTCTAGTAGAGGACTGATTTGGGAACATCTCATTTTTATAGAGAA